TTTTTTTTTTTTTCTTCGCTAATTCTCTCATCTCCTCACGGAAATCAATAATATCTTTTCTGTTTTGTCAGTTATTTCATTTACAATAAAATATCTTCGTTATCAGGCCTAAAAGAATGGATTAAGGCTTTTTGGTTATAACTCGGTAACGAAGAAAAAAAGAGATGGAATTAATTGTAATTTGAAGATTATTAGTTCATTGAAAGATATAGAGAGGAGAGATATACTTCTGTCACTATTAACAAGGCTTTTCATTAAATTTAGCTAATAACCATACTCCTGAATTGATGTTTTTTCTGTAATACTTTTACCGAATGATTATTTCATCACGAAAAACATACAAATTGATTAATAGTTATTTTTGTGGTGTTAAGTAATATCAAAATTTTAATGGTATTCCAAATTTCTAAGCTATTCTCATATCGTTCCTATTGAGCTCAAGCATTTTTCAGATAACCGATGAATATGAATTCATGGAATTGTATTTATTTAAATATCACACAATCATCTTTGATCACGAAAACTTTGATGAAATCTAAGTGATGAATTTGTTCAATTATTAAATTTAATATATCGAAGAGGAGTATCGGTATAATTTAAATAAGACTGCTGAATGGAATTAGCAATATTATCAGTTAGCGTATCGTTTCGAGTCTTTTCCTGATTTACATTTAAAAAAAAAAAACATTTTGGAATTTTATGCAGGAAATTCAACGTGTCAAATGAAATGAGTGATAAAAGTTTTGTGGTTTGAATGTTACGTAATTTATTAACTGTGTTTCATACATAGAATGCCATCAGGATGAGTAATTTTCTTTCCTATAGCTGTCAATTAAAAATCGTGAAATCAACATTTCATTGTTAGCTTATCCCCTATAAGAATTAATTTTGTCTTCAGTACTTTCTTCTTTTTCAATGCCTACTTTGCATACGGTTTTGCTAAATTAAAATTCGAAAATTTTTATAAATATCCTTAATTTCTGTTTTAAAACTTTTACATTTAGCACTGACTAGAAATTTCACTTTAATCCTAACAGGTTGAATGAAAAAGCTAATTTGACGTAACAAACGTTTGCTATTTTGAATTTTATATTTGATAGTATTTTAGTTAACTCATTGTTGATAATTTTACAGTGAATAAAATGTTCCATGCTTGTATTGCTATACTCATATTAACTGTAATTATCTGTACGTGTACGGTATTGGCTATAATGAATTTGGAGAATTATAATTTCGGTCTATACATTATATTACTTTGCATTGTAGGTAATGGTCAAAATTTAGAATTGTGGAAAAAAAAAATATTTAAAAAACCTAAACTTTAATGAAGCTGAAAAAGAAAAAAAGAGACATCGTTTAATTTGACTGGTAAAAAATATAAATTTGAGCAAAGTGCGTAAATTTGAATTTTTCAATAATAACGATTCTCGGGATTATTACTTTTTGATTTTAAATACAATTGATTTTTAATTTATTCATTACACATCTGTTATAAAACTTAAATGTAACCATTAGAAAGAATTATGTTTTTTTTTTTACAATTAACAAATTGAACAATTTTAGTTCGATTTCGAGTGCAAATTTTTTTAGCTATGATGATTGCTTGTGCCTTTTGTATTGCTAATCCGGATGCATGCAAAAATCCTTCCTGGTATACCAGACTTTGCTTGTTACTTCAGGTTCACTAATTTTTTTGCAATTAATTTAGAATTGGTAATTTTTATTTGAAAATCAAAATGTTTGTTGAGGAAAGCAATTTGATAGAATTGGTTGCATTAACATAAATTATGCATACAACTTTAAGAATTCATAATTGCTATTCAATTTTTCGTACTAAAAAAAAATCCTTCCTTCTTATCTTTAACTCGAGTTACGGTTTGAAAAAAAAGGAATTTTTAGGAATTGCATTCTGAATATCTCTATCGCAGTTCTATCTCTTCAAATGAAGCTGCATTTTCGACATCCGCTGATTGTTCAGCAAATAATAATATTGCGCAACGACTCAGGTAATATATGATAACAGTAAGGTAATTACTGGAAAAAAAAAGAAAAAATAGGAAAAGATCGTATGAACTTCATTCATACTGCACTGTAAAGAAATACAACTTTAATTCAAATGTGAATTTATTGAAATGAAGTTTAAAAATATGAATGCATTTTGCTTTTATTTTACATTATTTTGATTCTTGAATAATGAGTAATTTTGTTCAATTATTCAGAGAGGAATTAGCATCAATTAAATTTTGACAACAACAATTTTTTTGTATTTCAATTTTAGTTCAAAAATCTCATTTTTAGGAATGAAAATAGAACAGCAATTGCAATGTTAACGCCAGCAGTTCATGTCATGCATCATGTTTGGAAAGGTATGGCATGGATTACTGAGGATATTAGTGAGGAAGAAAGAGTTACAACCTGTCGAACGGTATATCATACTAAACTTATTTTACGAAAACAGTAATTTTGAAAAAAAAAAAGTTCTGAGACATTTTTTAAAATGAAATTTCAAGTAAATTAGGAATTGAAATAATCAAGAGAATATTGCATAAGATTTGCACAGTTTGATACAAAAATACATTATAGTTTAAAAGCAGATTTACATGTTTGTACTGGTATCATCTGTTCCTCAAAAATTTGTAAAATATTAAATGAAAATCATTTACCTGAAGGGAGTGAATGAATCATTATGAATAAATTATTCCCCAGGAAATCTTTTATCAGTAAACGAATCTAGTCTTGGAAAACTTTTTAATTTTCAATCAAATGAATTTAATAGTGTACAGTTGGAAAAACCTGAATTAAAGAATTAAAACTAAGAAGTACTCCATTGCAATCATGAAATGAGTATTTCTCCGAACCGTGTTTAGCTAAAGGATCCATATCTACTAAAATATAGAACAGTTTTTGCATCTCTCACTTATATTTCATAAAAATTTTACGAATACATTCCGACGCCGTTTTGCATAAATTTGCACATTTTTTCAGCCATCGATTTCGATGCCAGAAGACTCAGCTAGTGAATGGGACTCTAAAAATGATGTAACTTTATGACTATTACTTTTTTCAAATAACTGCTCAGTGAATCCATTTAATAGCCAACCGAAAATTGGAATTCCATTGCAAGAAGTGAAATTTAAAAACCTTGAATCTAACTATTTAATCTCATATTCTTGTAATAAAGTTTGGGAATGATACAAAAAAAGGCATATGATTTTTTAATTACACTGAAGATAAACAAAAAAAGAGTGAGAAGTTACAAAGTTACTTTGTCATGGAAAAAATTGGAACGATAAAGATGAAACTGTTACAAATTGCGAACTATGTGACACAAGAAACTATTACAAATATCACAAAGAATCGTAAAAAACATTATAAAATTGTGTAACGTAAAATGATGGATGAAAAATTTAATATCATCCAAAGATAAAATTTCAAAAATTCCAGGGATAAATTTATCAAACAAAACAAATTTTAACAATCCCGCCTTAATTTGATTTTTTACAAAATGTGCATGAACTAATAGATTAAAGAGGTATGTCTATGATCAAATAAAACCGAAAACTCGCATTAAGTGATAACAGAATATTTCAATATTCCGACAGAATATTTCAACAGAATATTTCAAGTTCGATTTATTGAGCAGTAAAATTTATCATGTGCAATGCTAGCTACAGTAGTTTCATCTTGGTACTTATCAGACCTCCTCTTCCTCCCCCTCCCTAAAAAACTTTCAGTGATATTTTTAAACAGTTAAAATAAAATGGAAAACAAAATAAATAGAAAAGCGAAGCAGACCAAGTTCACGATACCATGATACAAAAAAAAATTTTTTTTTTCTTCACTTACCTGATAAATTTCGGAAAAAGTGGTCATTCATAATGCAGTGCGCTGAATGATGGTGAACAGAGTAATAACTGAACTAATTTAAATGAATGAAACTATACATATGAAAAAATATCACGGACACAAACAGAGTGTCTCGCATATGTGTCAGATAACCGTTATGGTAATAATTTGTTACAAGAATTGTTTCATGAGGTAAAAACTTTTCGAGAAATCGTATGTGTAGAATAAATACCGGGATATATATTGCACGGACTCAGCAATTTCTCATTTTTTTCTGGAAGAATTTGAAGTTGAGAAGTCTTGTATTTTTGAAAAACTGAAAAAATGTTGAAAGTGCTAAGGAAGTGAATAAAAAAGCATTTAGCAGATAAAATTGTCAACCTATTTTTAGCCCTGCAAGCTATTTTTAAGGTGACATTAATTACAGCAAATTGCGAACAATCAGCAAAACTGAAAGAAATTGCACGAAATCAATTGGAAGCTCAAACAAAATACAAAATATTTCAGATTGCGATTTGTTGCTAAGTCAGTAAAAACTTTCAAAAGTTAAAACAAAAAACCGTTATTTCTGATCGCATTCTAAGATGTTCTAATTCAACGTAAGAATGGTAACTTAGGTTGAAAAATTAAAACGAAATTATTCAAATCAAATTTCTCACTTCTTCGCTGATTCCACTTTCGGATGTTGAGCAGGAAATGAAAGTACTGTTTGTCGTGAACGCAATCGTGTCGCTATGCCACTCTGAATAAAAATTCAATGCGGTATAAAAGTACAGATTAATCCGTAACATAAGTGGGACAATAAAAAAATTATTCCGGTACGATCAAATGCTATGAAGTTAAATCACGTTATAGTTTCAAATGTTTCAAAACTGCTTTTAATCTTCCATTTTTTTCCAAGAAATTTTTTTGGATGTTTCTTAGATAGGGATAAAATAGTAAAGCTATGCCATCCATTGTAAAAGATTAACTTAGAACTAACCGTTTCTGGTACTATTTTTGCTTGAGCTTTTTCATCTGACAGTTTTGTACTCTCAGCAGCGCTTAACTTTTTTATCTTACCACATTTACCGCCACTTTTTGAATTCACTTTCTTCAATTTCTTGGTTACCACCACTTCAACACTATTTTTGCCCTTATGCGTAACATCATTATTTTCACTTGCGGTTACGATTGGTCGACGTTTCCTGGAGGTGACGATTGGTGTTGAACTTGTGAATGGCTGACTAACAGTGATATCTCTCATCTAAAAAGGTGCAAAATTTATATAAATCTCGAAATTTTGTTTCAAAACTTTATCGATACGTTACACTGCCCACTAAACTTTATTAGAAATGCAGAAGCTTCCAAATTTTGAAACCAAGCAATAAATTAATCCATTTCAAATGTATCAAATTGGTGAAAACATACGCGAACTGGAAGAATTGGTGAGTAGTTGCAATCTTCTAATGAATCACGGATATTTCGACCATCCCCGGTACTAAAACTTGCTTCTGACGTTTCAAGTTTACTTTCATCCCTCAAGCTTTTCAATGAAATTGTTCTCTTTCCCATCTCTTTTCCACTTACCGACGTGTTCGAAAGTAAGGAAGCCTAAAATAGCATTACTATTCCTACACTATCAAAAAGTCTGAGCCTAATGAATTCCAAATATTTGAAACACAAACTTTAAAAATTTGCCAACTGAAGCGCAAAGAATTGTTAAGAATACAATGAAAAACTATATATATATATATAAACCTTCTTTTCCAAACCCCAACTGCTGCTATTACTTGTTTGAAAATTTTTTTCCAAAAATAATTTCTTTTCACTTATGTTTAGCTTATCCTGAAATAATATTTATAGTGTCACCAAATAAAGTTTGAAATTTTTAACCTCGCAAAAATCAGGATGATCTCATTTGAAAAAAAAAATATCAATCTTCACCTGCCGTGGTTTTTCTTCCTCAGAAACAAGCTTAGAAAGTTTAATAACATCAGTTTCATTACTGAAAGAAAGGCCATTCGTCTGAGCTTTATGACTTGGATTCCTTCGTATGTGGTTCCTATTAATTGCTCTGAAAGTCTCATTTATTTCAACACTTCGGAAAAGGTTAACCAAGAGACGTATTTAATCTTCAAAGATTTGAAGAACACATGGAATTGATTTGCTACTGTATAACGATGAAATTTCAGTTCGAAGCTGCAAATGATACCTTTTATTGCCAACTGTAACTTTCAGGTCACTGGATTTTCTTGTAGATTGCCTTGGATTATTTGTCAAGGAGCGCCGTATAAATAACTTGGTCGCTGCTTTCGTAGTGTCAGTTTTCTGATACTTTGCGCTTGCTTTCTTTGTTTTCATCTGCTTGACGAACGATGTCGGCACGTACACTCTGGTATTAGTCTTCAAAATTTACATAAATGTCAAAATCTAAAGGAATGAAATAGTTAAGCATTATTTTCTCGCACCGAATTTTCCTATAAATCATTACAACTCCACTACTCCATTTATTTATAACCACAATAAAAAATATTATCTTACGCAGTCTAAAAATTCTACCCTTTCTCAGTATTTCAAAATGAATTATAATAAAATTCAATACTAGAGAAGTGGTCTAACTGATGAATCATAACTATATTTTATAAAAGAATATGAAGACTATTTGAAAACTTACTTTTCCCATGTTCAGAAAGAATCTTTTACTCAGCAGCGGTTTATTTTCTACATCCTTCATCAAATTCTTCACACGGTAAGACATTAACAGTATTCCAATATCACACAACGCCCATATTTTCTAAAAATAAGTGGAATGAAAAATGAATATCAAAATACTATAAAATCTTAATTCCAAAAGGATATTTAACGTAAGACTTAGAATTTAAGACTAGAAATCAAAAAGACTGAATGAACTTGATAAAAATTCTAAACGAAATTCTTGAAATATAACTTTATAAACCTCATTTTTTTGTTGCAACTCCTCCCTCGTACAGTCCTGCAACTTTGAATCTGTGCTGTTTTTTACTGTCTGCAAAATAAAATTGTTTGAATACTAAGAATCTAATATTCTGATGAACTTGAATTAAAGATGTATATGTGAACAGAAAATTTGGGAAAATACAAACCTTGAATATGTTGTAAATAAATTCTAAACTACCCGGTTCTTTTCTTGTACTGAAAATTTCCAACAAAAACCAGATAGATCTGTAAAAAAAAATGGTTGGAGAGTAATATTACATATTATAAATTTTAAAACTTGGTAACTCCAAAAAATATTGAAAACCTAAATGCAGAGAATCAAACCTTGAGAAAAACAAAACTCACTCTGTCAATCGCCATAATTCGTGTTCACATTTAGTAGACTCAAATGACGGAAGCTTTGCAAGTATGTAAATTGCGTATGCAATGCAATATTCAGGCTGGTAATATGGTGCAAATTCTAAAATGCCACTATAAAATAGTATTAAATAACCACGCAAAATACCAAAAATTACATCATAATAAAAAATCAATTGACCTTTCCTTTCCAGTTTTTCCAAGTATTTCCGTCTTTTTGTTATATTTGCATCAATCAAAACACGCATTTTATTTTGGAAATCGGTATCTTCATATAAAGTAACAAGTGCAAACAGTCCCATGTATTCAACATGTAGTTGAAGGGCCATTAAATATTTGTTAAGTTTGCCGAAAAATCGATGCCGCATTTTAGATTCTTCATCCTAAAAACGGTTTAGCTTATTTCGCGCCTAATTCAACAAAAAAATGCTCACACCTACGTTAAAATTATAAAAGTATCTCGAAACTTCGAGAATTTCAAGCAAAAGAACAAAAATTAGGTTTGCGAAACTACAGCAAGCTTGCCAGTAATATTTCCTCTTCCTTTTGAATGAGACACGGTATTTTAGTTAGAATGTTTAGAACTTACACGACCAAGTGCAGAGAGCATAATTAAATCATCGGCGGTAACAAATTTCGCGTACCGTGGTTTCGTTGCAAGTTTTAACATTGAACTTCCTGCCAATAAACGAAATTCAGCCATATGAGTTCGGCTGTAATGAATATGTAATCAGAATTCTACTTTCAAAATTGTATTCAATTTTATCTTCTGAAGCTACTGACATCAACGAAGATAAACGTAAAGAGTTTTACATTCAAATTAATATGTCCCAGTTTGATTTCGATATCTACATTTAGCAAATAAGAAGAATGGTTTAAAAGTAAGATCACAAGCCTTATGAAAGATATCCATGCAAATTTACATCTGAAAAGCACTGCTTCGTGGGCATTAACATTGCATAACTAGCTATGTTGATGTAAAAAAAAATTATGCTCACCTACATGGTTTCTCGAAGATATCTCCCTTTGTTTCCAACAAAGTGGAATACAGCTTCAGAAGGTTTCTGGCCAATGGTTCAACATCACACTTCGAGAATTGCGCTACGGATACCAAAAACTTCGCAACAAATTTCAGACAGTGCTTCTCAAATATTTTTTGCTTGAAACTTTAGAAACACAATCTTTGTTTCTCTTGTAGTCAGAACTAATATGGATATTTTTATTGGAAAATGAAAGCGATAACATGAAGTATCATCTATTTTTAGTTGTGAAAAACTATTCAACCTTAATCTCCACATAATTTTCGTCGCAAATTATTCCATCAGCAAACTGCTCATTGTAATTATTGGCATTACTCTGCTCATTAAAAATTATGCTACTGCCACTTCGGTCAAGCAGTAAATCCATTATTTTTGTCTGAAAAAGTTTACATTTATTTCACTAATTTATTAGGAATCTGATTTATAATTCTGGACATCGGATAACTTGAAAAGTATGTGAAATGACAAACTTTGAGTATTTCGAGAAGTTCGTTGCAAAACTGCACAGTATCCACTTCCACGCAAGAGCTTAGTGCTTTAAGTGCTGTACAGCACTGTGGGTCGAATGTAGAAATACGCGACAAAGAATCCTAAAAACAAAATAACAAATGAATCCTACATATAGTGTTGACTATGGCCTAACAAAATCAATTTTAACTCATGTGAAACCATTTATCATCTGAATCAAAAAAAAATACAAGCCTAAAAGATTCTTTAAAAATATTTGAAATAAATTTTATTTTCTCTGCAACACAGACTTCGCAATGGCAAGCTTGGAACATACCTGAAATATACTTCCAAGCCTCGCTCGAGCTTGTTCAGTGTCCAACAACTTCGAAATACAACGCACAGCGTACTTTGCAGCACGGGGAGTGCCATTCAGACTAATGTATTCGCAATGTTTGACATATTTATCAATCATATCTTTAGCCAGGAATTGATGCTGTTTGAGTTCAGTAGAAATTGTAATTACCAGCCCAAGTAAATTTTCTGCTAAAAAATTAAGAATTAAAATTTGCTACAAAGAATTTTGACTACTGAAATCGGAATCGAGCTCCAGGCTGAAAGCAAAATGTGAGAGCTATGTTTCAAAAAGCATTAACTTTATCTTTATTGTTGTTTCCAATGTAATTTCTCATATATTTTCATTTTTAACCTAATCAATTTTTGCACTTAATTTTTCTTTTCACCACGACAAAACTTATCGACAGAAGAGTTACCAGATGAAAAATGCAGAAACAAATCAGCAAATGAGAACATAGTGAAAATAAGAGAATACTATTGTCATCCATTGTGACTAGTATTACATGCCACCTCCCTTAGAGATCGTCAGATTTTTTAAATCATGCCCTTGAAATCATTTATATCATGAGTTTATCTTGCTCTATTCGAGAATGTTAAGAAAAACACACTTTCGGAAAAGTTTTCCATTTCGATCAGTTGTACTAAACCTTCCAACGTAGGTCCATTTACAAAGCAATGTGGATATGCATCTGCAACTATCTGCAAACAAAACAGCTTAGGTTTAACAATAATTTAATTTCGAAAAGCTAGAAGAAAAGAACTTAATATTCTTTAAGTTACAATTTGAAGCTTTTATAATACTAATGTAACCACTTACATGACACAAATGACAGAAAAATACCTTCAGAAGCTTAATCAATTTATAGCAATGATTAAATTGATTGGAATTTATATTGTCTCTAATTAACGTGATCACCATATCAACCAACACTGATACTGCACTCCCATCAAACTGAAGCGGTGAACAGCACTCAAACAAACATCTCACCGCATCCAAACATTCCATCGACACTTTATAATCTCGCAAACGTTGTAAAATTTCCAACTTAAATAGCTATGCATTTAACACAGGCTGGGTAAAAAGAAAAAAGCATCTAAGGAGATGAATTCGTCTTCTTTCATCAAATCAATTAGTATAACTGATAAGCGCAGTTGCATAGGTAAGGAAATTTTTGCCGATAGCTTCATCAGATACAAAAAGATTGTAGGTGAAATAAAAAAAAGAACTGTATTCGATCTTTCTATAAAAATTCGTAATCTTAAAAAATTATACATATGAATGGTTTAATTTAACTGAATAACTTACAACAGCCGACTCAACCTTTTGACAGATATATTCTTTTCCCGTAATATATTTCAACGACAATAATATCTGCCTGTCATTTGTTAAGTGTGTTATAAACTGCCTGTAAAATAATATAATAAAACATAACTTCTAAGTAACTTCCCACTTTACTGAGACAGCGAAAGGAGACCTTATCTTCAAAATTACCTGAAAACAAGCGAAAATTTGGCTGGTTCAGGATTGCACTCAACGATGCCTCTGATAACATCATCAATTGTTTTTCCCTTTTGTGGCTCAACATTCTGCTCAATCAATTTTACCAGATTGCGTAAAAGTTGTCGTTGAAATGACTGCTTCATCAAAATTTGTTCTAGAGCTCTAAAAATTTTTAAAATCTATGGAAATAAAAGGAAAATCTTCGTCAAGTTATGAAATTCTGAAGAATTCTAAAGAATATTGCTCCCCTCTTACTACACGGACAAAAGAGCAAAATTAAAGGCAAGAAAATATATTTGCACAATTAATGAATATAAAGTTATTCCAACTAACTTTACACCATAGTTGTTCATACTCAGAGAAATATTAACCAGTATTCCCATACGTTTGCTTTCATCTAGCTTATATGGAATTAAATTGAGAACAAATATTTTCTCCGTTAATAACCTGAAATGCCTCTTTTCCGTGCTATTATAAGATATTGATGTTGTTCCTTACAAAAAACACATTGCCTCATAGATTTTAAATGTATGCAATAAAGTTGCAAAACTTTACTCCGAAATTTACACAGTGAGACATTACATGTGGAAGTAAATAACTAATTTGAATGTGCAGAGATTGGTACCTATCTTCCAAAAGTGGCTGATAATAATGATTCATAATAGCAGAGAATATGCTAGAAACGGAGGACCGTTCCAAATTTGTCAGTTCATCATTAGTAAAAATTGTACGATGAAGATGGGAAAGTCCACGAATTACAGCATGTCGAACTCTGACCTGAACAAAAAATATACAATATTGCATGATTTCGAACTTCGAAATATCACTTCTAATAATTTTCACTAAAGAGTTGATTATTAACAACTAATAGAATAAATAAACAACTAATGACAGCAGGAAGTTGCAAATTCAGACCAAGCCAAATTTAAATAAATTTCGAAGCCAAACATCAATTTCATTTCACTATACACTACAACATGATACTTGAAAATGAAAAACGCATGTTATATAAAAAAATGCAAAGTGCGCATATCAAAACATATAATGCACATGACAATTTATTGAGAAACTTAAATCTAAAAATTTTATTTACACGATTATTTCTTACCTTTTTATCTCGAATTCTGTCGATGACATGCGTAAGAAGTCTTTCACTCAAAGCTTCGAATTTCCGTTTTGCCAGTCCTTGAACCATCGTAACGCTTTCCAAACGTACGTTTTCATCCAGATCCTGACAACGCAAAATGACAGCATCTGAAACTTTGAACTTCCCCAATTTAGACAATGAATTAAACATCATTTTTCGTGAGTGTGTTCAGCATTTGAAATATAAGTAAAAATTATAGTGAGCGATAAAATCCTAGAATAAGAGGAAAATATTTTCAATTCAACTATACTAAAAAAGTAATATCCTGCAAAACCTGTCACTTGTCCACTCAATTCTGGATGAAAAATGAGAATATCTTCAGCATTTCTAATACAAATACGACGAATTTCTTCATTCACATCAGCAAAACATTTCATATATTCGTTCCAAACTTCGGGTTCGTCCTCAGCCATACGCGAATTCTCATCACCAAAAAGATTTCCAAATAAACGAACGGCTTCTCGACGCACAGCAACATCTTCACTCTAGAAATCCACGAAATACAAGTTTTTAAGAAGTAAAGCATTGAGAAACATTGTAACCAGACATCTAATAAATTTCGGTGAACCTCAATTCATTTCAGTGGAGCTCAACTATTCCGTTACTTGAATTCATCCCAGGAACAACCAAAATCCCATTAAACATCGAAATTACAACTGAACAGGGAATTTACAATGGCAGCAGTTGACAATCGCATATCAAATCATTCATAAACCATAAAAATCTCATCAACAAATTAAAAAATTTAAATTACCTTTATCTGATTAACTAATATTGGAAGTACGGAGGAAATCATTTCCGGCACGAATTTATGTAGCTCGCAAATTAAATCGCATAATTTTTTCTGAGAAATTAATTCACATTCATCCAATATGCCTGTCTCCAGTCCACGTTTTAACAGCTGAAATTCGAAATAATTTCAGTTACAGAAGAAAGAGTTTACGAGTGACATGAGTGATTGTATATAATTTATTTTGAGCTAATTTTTTTAGAACTCAATTGATTTTTCGGAAAATACTTTAATTTTTTAGAACGAATACTTAAATATAAATTCTTTTATATAACAAACAAAACTTTTGCAGAAAACAAACTAAAGCAACATATGGTTCCAGTGTTGTTTCATTTGTCCGAATCAAATCACGTGCCATAAGATAAGCTTCATGATTATTTATCTGAAAGCAATGCATCAAAATGACCAAGAAGTGCTCTTATATTAAATATTATTTTTCAGCTTAATGTTATGAAATAAAACCAGCCAGTTCAGATGTCGCTAAAGACACTACCAAATAAAAAGGCAAACTTTTTGGGGTTGCACAATGAAGAAGAAAATTGCATCCAGGACGATATTTGAAATTTGGTCAACTCCTTGGATCAATTTAGAACACATTTCCATGAGCATTCCTTGAAGGTGTTCATCAGCATTTTTCTCGTTAACACCATTAAAAGACTCTTTGATTAACTGCCGCAGAACCACATAAGCATCATCTCCTAGTTCCAGAGCTATTTGCATTGTTCCTACTACCGAAATATTCTGAAAAGTTTTACTGCAAATATTAAAAAACCTCATAAAAATACCTTCAACTCAAAAACACATATCAAAAGAGGATGCGAAATGTATTTCCAAATACAAGGGTTAAGAATGGCCTGAATTATTACAAAATTGGTTACAAAAACTGATTACAAAAACTATCTAACCTTTTTACTATAAAGAACAAATAAATAGCAGGTACTTCTTTCCTCATTAATCTACAAATTAACTTGGAAAAAATTGCTGAAAATTCCAAGAAAATTACAAGTACTATCGAATCAGCAACAAACCTCAAGAAAATATAAATAATAGTGGTACATCGAATTTCCCTTATCTGGAATATTTCCAATTACTGCTGTTATGAATAGTAGCACATCCTGCAATGGAATTTTGACTGAAAAATACACGATTTTAAAATAAATATACTACAAAATCGTCATTTCTCTGATTAATTATAATTTATTAACAAATCAATATATGATACATTTAAATATGAAACCACAACATCTGCTCTCAACGTTGTTGTTTCGTAAATATACTTGAATTTAGTACTTTCTTGAACTATCATAATAATCAAGCATTCCCTTAAAGTTCTTTTTTGAACCAAAACTGTTTGTTTTACTCTAACCTTGAGCAGAAAAGGATCTTGAACTGGTGAATTTGGTGCGAAAATCCGAAAAAGATCTGCGACGCAACACGCTAACAACAATTGTACATCACTGTTTTTGTTGCTCAAAAACTGTGAATCAGTTAAATGAAAAATCAAATCTTTGTAGCGATTCGGAGCGTTAGCTTCTTCATTTGTGATCTCACATTTCAATGCTTCAGATAAAACCTAAAACAACAGAGGAAAACAAATCAGTGACATTTTAATGGTTTTTAAAATCAGAGACAACCTCGAAAATTGTCCCCGATTTTTAAACATATCCATACATTCTAATCTTTTTATTGCACTATTTCAGAATATTTGCACAATGATTTTTTAGCTATTCTGAGTGAAGAAAAATATTAGCAATGTTTTGAGAGGTGTAAGATCTAGTTTTAAAATAAAGAATAAAACTTAATGCATACATCCATGTGATAATTATTTAAATTACTTTTTTTCTCTCCATTCTCAGTATCTTCATAATGAAGCATTTAGATGAAATGAATTTATTGAAAATAACCTTTAATCGCTTCAATAATTCTGTATTTCTAATATTTGCACTGATTGGCTTACAACCTTTTGGATACTTTATAGCATCTGAAGGCATACTTTATGATCTCTATTATCCTGAAAATAAAACCATGGAATTTCTAATTGCTTATTCTTCAGTAATTTTATAAATACCATTCTGCTGCAACTAATAATGAAAACAAATATATGGCAAATGGTAAGGAATGAAAGGATAATTCGCGTTTTTACAATCGAATCAAACAAAATCGCATAAAATCTACATTAAAATCGAAATAGCTAAAAAAAA